CCTCTTCTTCTTTCCACAAAAATATTTCCAGCACTTGTCTTTTGATTGTAGGAGGGGTGAGGGGGTTGAGACAGAGTTCCTTGATACTGCAGCCTCAAGTGGACCTATTCAATCAGCACATGATGACAGATAAGCATTGAACAATGATACAATGATGGCATGAGGAAAATGAAATAACCGAGATAGAAACCTGCCCCTGTGCTACTCTGTTCACCACAAATCCCACATGGACTACCTTGGTATTTAACATGGGCCTCTATGCTGAGAAGGTGGCCTGAGCTCTCTTCCAATTTAATAATATATCACAACTTTTATTTCTAACCATGTTACATGTAGGAACAAATTTTCAAACCTGTACTGTAATAACCAACTTTATATTTTAAAGAAATCATTATGGTAAATGTGAAGTTCCATGTCTGAAAGAAGAGTTTAAAACAGATTAGAAGTAAATGAATTAGGGAAACTTAACACTTGCAGAATGTATAATACAGAAACAGCATGGACACATTGCTAAAATGTATGATTTTTTGGGAGGGTTTAAGATAATACAAAATGGCTGTTTCTTTGAAGGATAAACTAGAAAAATATTAAAGATATTTTCAAAAAGGCGCCAAATGCCCAATATAATAGTATACACTTAAAAGATAACGTTTAACAGTATATCAAAATTTGCTACTTCAGAAGGAATAAAATATGGCTGACCTAAATAAATGAGCTGCAACTTTCATGCAGATGAACTGGGTTGTCTAACTTTATACCGGAAATGTGAAATAGTATTTATATGTTAATTCATTTCTGTGGTGGGTCTAACAGCAGTTTCTCTAAATTACTGACAAACCAATCATAATGCAGCTCATATTAGGAACTTCAATGGGACAGAACCCAGGACAGCCACTCACTGACATTTTGATACTTGTCTCTACCCCCACACCACTGTGCACATCAAACATACCTCACACAGGACCCATAATGTGTATATATTAACCGTCTTTTAGTGCATACAATTTCACTTGTCACTTCACACTACATGTTTCGGCATCATTCTGCCATCCTCAGGTGTATTAATCACGTTAAACCATTGCACTGCCTGCCAATTTATAAAATGATATAAAATGTGTTTGTCATTCAATAATAAAATTTATATATTAAAACTTGTTAAGATCTATTATCTTACATGTCGTATATCAAACTCGTATGTGACGCCATTCATCCGCTATGGGAGTCTTTCTTCTTATGTTTTAATTGTGTATANCCATATTAGACTTGGTATCAGTTTAAAAGCTTTTCTCTTTAAATTACCTTAATGATTAAAATTATTTCAGATGAATGAACATTTGTATATTGGCGTACAAACAACATAATTTACAAATAGCACATTCATTAAAGTACAGACACTAAAAATTAAACAAAAAATTCTGAGAACTTCTATTACACCAGGAACTCATTTACGTGCACTTGAACTTCATTAGAAATGTGTGGGATTTTATCATACTGAAAAAAAAAATCAGCTGTCATCTATTTAAAGCTTTGGTAACCCTCGACTCTCTCCGAGATAACATTTGAATTGCAATCCACCTTAGTGATAATATGAGGCCTTATAAAGTATGAGTTTTCCAAGTCAGTTTTCATAATTCTATCACGTTTCTGTATGTGCTATGAATTATTAGAATTATTACAGGCGACAGAATATTTTGAACACTAAACAAATATTAATTATAAGAATGTTTTCCAAATGTTCTAACTTACGCCCAAGACTTCACAGTAAGTGTTTTGGTTTAACAATATGTGCTAATTGTGGGAATACTCCTACTTTTAAGTGTTAACATGCTTATGTAACGTTGGTCTTTGCTGAACTGATTAACCCTTATCGTCCGTCCAATGCACAACTAAATTGGTGCATGAGCTGATTCGCCAGGCCCCGCAGGCCTTCCATCACATTATATACAATATAAAAGTTGTTATCAATAAGTTTAAATCTTGCTGTAACTGTCATAGTAGCATGACATTCCGATCTGTCTGATAAAAGTTAATGATATTCTCCAAATTAACTGAACGTCAGTACCATTCATTATAACAGTACTGTCACATTCAATACAGAAGATACAAACTTAAGTGCACGATACTGAAGTCACTCTTTTGAACAGTACTAAGAGACAAACTAATAAAATGTATTTTTAAGGTTCGAAACAGCTCTGCAGGTAATATAAATCCAGGTAGTTTCCTCATACTGTTTTTAGAAAATGGTGTCATGATCAACATAATGTGAAAGTGGGTTGTATTAAATCATTCAGAGATTAGAATACTGCTCCTCAGTTGCAATGTAGAACTTATCTTTATTAAGTTCATGTTCATCTTAGAAAAAAAAATTGTTGAATGTGGCAGTGTAACCGAATCAGACTGATGTAGTAAAAAGTACTTTTCAGGTGAAACCTTGTGGCAAATACTCTAGTCTGGTTAGTAGTAAAGTAAAGCTATCCCTGTAACAGGCCATGAAGGCCCATAGGGTTGAGACGTTGAGGGTCCCACATTATCTAGACAGTCGGCTCATAGATGGTGGTAAGGTAGTCAGCCTTACGTGCTGGCCGCACTTTACTCCCCAGGGAAATTATTTAATTAATTCCTGGTACTCATTTCTGTTAGAGGCTGAGTCGACCCCAGGGCCATAGTGCGGCTGGAAGGTTAGGTCAATTGAAAAAATTAGCAGTGCACTGTCAAACCTCTAGAAACTTACTTCTACACCACAATTTGACATTACTTTGCCACTGCAGTGAAAGTCCACAAGCAAACTATACTGACCGAGCGACTGTGCTTGTTGGCGAAGTAGTGCCAACTTCATATATTACTGAATATAAATCCACGTTATTGACACACAGACCCTCAAACTTCAGGTATTTACTAGGCACACAGTGAAGAATAAACTGTAATGGAAGTAAGCATAGGTACATGAATAGGAACAAATTCCTGGCCCTACAACACAACTGAACAGCAGTACCACATAACTGTTCAATATCAGACCTAGTCTGATGATGTAATATTGTTCACCATGAGAAGAATGTGAACCTCATTGTTCAAGAAACATCCCAGTGTTTCAAATCTGAAACTGTTAGAAGATGGAATAAGAATAACCTGTTTCAGCTTCAATTAATCCATTCTGCTGACCTGTAAGATATTTAATATGAGTGTGCCTTTGTGGTCTAGTGGTCAGCGTTCCTGGCTACAGATCCAGAGGTCTGGGTTCGATTCCCGGTGCTACCGGATTTTTCTGAGAAGTAGTTGGTCTGCAATGGGGTGCACGTGGGGATTTGTTGTGCTGACCACGTGACACCTTCTATCCACAGAAGTTGGCACTAAACTTCGCCAACAAGTGGCGATCGCTCGGTCGGTATCGTTCGCTTGTGGACTAAAATCATGAAATGCCTTTGACTCATGGTAATGAATGTCCATCTCTGCATTCTGTTTTATGGATCACAATCCCGTGGATCTCTTATAGATCATGTATTCTCTACACCACCATGAATGAGCTGTAAATAGAAGGTTCTGTTTCTGGTACCCTTCAGAGCACCTGTTCCTTTCTAAACACTTCAGAAATTGAATCTGTTTCTGCCCTAAAGGTTAGGGGTGGTGCTCTTTTGGCTCCATTTCATATTACATGCTACGTTTTTGGACTCGTCTGTCATCTGGTATTCCAAACAGAACACAATGTTTCAGAAACTCTCTCTCTTTTGTCCATAGGTGAAATGATGGGAAGACACCTAATGAGTTGGGTGTGTTAGAAAGAGCTACATTCAGCCAGTGATCAATATTAGCTCTTTCCGATAGTCCAAACTGAGTAAGTGGCCCCCACCTTTTCATTTGAAGATAGAAATACAGTGGAACCTTGCTTAATGAGCACCTCTCATAACGAGCAAAACAAATTCTAAAAAAATGAATCGCATGACGAGTGACGAGAGGGGAAGTCCCGGATTGTTGCGCTTGCTACATCAATCTGTGTTTAGCACTTGTTCCGCTAGCATCTTAGCTTGTGATCACACATTTTTCCAAACTTGTGTTCAGACATATTATTTGTGATTTTTTTTTGTGCAAAGTTTAATAACCCTTGCAAAAATAGAAAAATCCGTAAAAGACAGCCATAAGAGAATAAAAATAACAGTAGAAATGAAACGTAAAATCATTGAAAAGCGAGAACGAGGTGTGAGCGTGGCTGATCTAGCACGCACATACAGTCGGTCTACATCAACGATTTGCACTATCCTCAAGAACAAGGACAAGATTAAGGAGATAGATGCTTCAAAGGGAGTGACAAGAATATCTATGCAACAGTTACGTATATTCTCGAGAATGTTGAAAGGTTGCTCCTCATATGGATAAACGAAAAGCAATTGCAAGGCGACACTATTAACGAGAACATCATTTGTGAGAAGGCGAAAGTTATTTTCGCCGACCTCGTTAAGAAGATGCCAGGATCAACGGCCGAAGAAGCAGCATTTAAGGGAAGCCGTGGGTGGTTCGAGAAGTTAAAGAGAATAAGATATCGATGAGCTTGTGGAAGAGCACAGGCAAGAGCTAACCACTGAAGAGCTTATGGAGTTGCATTGTGTTTCACAGTAAGAAGTTGTGGAGGAGAGTTTGTCAGAGGAGGAGGAGGAGGAGGAGGAGGTAACAGCAAAGCAACAATCTTCTGGCGCAATAAGAGAAATGCTGAAAGCATGGGAAACTGTTGCATCATACATAGAAGCATCACCCTAATAAGGCAGTGGCTATGCGCGCTACAAATTTATTTAATGATAATGGTGTGTCGCATTTTCACCAAATTTTGAAGCGTTGCCAAAAACAAATGTCTCTAGACAGCTTTCTAGTAAAAAAGAATTAGATATGTATCATAAATAATAAACTAATTATTTCGATTTTTTTTTTGTCTGCAAATCGAATTCGCATTCCAGGTTGGTTCATTCCGCACAGAAGAAAAGATGAAGAAGATTCACGCTCCTTAACAATGTATATATAATTTTCTTTGGATAAACGTTATACATCAAATTTTTTGAATTCTTTTCGGCATGGAACGCATTATCGTATTTTACGTTAATTTATATGGGAAAAAATGTTTCGCTTAACGAGCGTTTCGCATTACGAGTAAGATTCTGGAACGAATTATGCTCATTAAGCAAGGTTCCACTGTAGATGCAGTTTTCAAAACATCCTGTTCTGTTCAGAAGACTAGATGATGGACGAGTCTAATAACCCAATAATACTAAGTCTACCCTTTAGTGAAGATTCTACTATTTATGGACACGTTCAACTTTGGTGTACCAATGTCAATATTGGGATTTGGTAATTTGCCTTGTCTTCGTGTTAATGGAGGACGATAATATACCACCATCAGACCCTCTTAAAACTGACGCTCAGAACATGTTATTGAATGAATTATGTGCTGAAATGTGAGTGACAGATGAAGGTAGGCAGACACTAAGCTGCTTGGGCATCAATCCATTAACATCACCAATATAAGTTAATTTACTGTAGCATATCAAGATGTTAAACATACTGAATGTAAAGCTATTCACAAACATTCCAACACTCCATGACAACCATGTGGTTTATTTGTAACAAATGTAACATAAACATCTAGCCAAAGTGACTTCATACAAGTATACTAGTCCTGCTACCTGTCTCTTATTTTATAACGGGATCATGTTATTGTCAGATGGACAAACAGTGATTTTCTGAGAATTCTAGAATGATATTCTTGTTTTGAAAAGGACTTCTTTGCACAGCAATGTAAGCCTAACTAGCAAAAATTGAATATGAGTCTTACATAATTTTATAAAGGAGAGCTGACTTTATTCAGCACTATGAAGTAACAAATGTATACACAAATCATGCTTATGATTCAACTGCATCATACGTTTATAAACCAACCATGGGTTTGGAAAACAAGACAGAATTTTGAACACTGACTTCCTCATACTTTCAAAACATGCAGTAGTACCTATTTAATTTCCCATTGCTAGAAACTAATTCTTCACTGGTTGAGCCCTTGTCGTTTCTCTTCTTCCAACATGGCATCTAGCTCATCTGTTAGGTTGGCAAGCATGTTCCCAATATCATTCAACACATCAGCTGGTTCCTGGCCTGCTGCTCTGTAATGGATTAAAAAAATTAATGCAACAGTTTCTCTATTACATTTCTGTGGCATCTGTTATGCACTAAATAACAGCAACATTTTACTAAAAGAGTTTACAACAATCTCTGACAGAACTTGAAAAATTAATTACCTTTCTCTTAATGCCTTTTGACTAGCTGCAAGATCGCTTGGAGAATGCTGGACTAGTTTTGGAGGCACATAATCTGAAATGAAATAATTTGAATGGCAGGCTACAGATCACAGACACTGCATTTTAACAGTGACACAACATATTTTCAAGATGATAGGTGAATTAGAGCTTGGTCTGGATATTCAATTTACAGTTAATGAAACTTGTTTAGAATATTCCAGGGGGTATGGGGAGAGGTTAAGCCGTTTAGAAGGAGAGACCCAGTGAGAAATAAAACCTGGATGAATAACAGAACCTTCAAGTAAGTTAGCATTTCTAATTATCTATCATTTGAAGGAGAAAAAAAGAGTTGATGTAAAAATTCTGAATCATTATTGATCTCAAGAAATAAATATTATAAGTTCTAAGGCAGCTGCTCAACTGACATCAACTGAAGTACATTTCGTGAAAGAACAGGTTTCACCTCCTTTGTCCACAAAGAATTTCAGAAATAATGACACTGTACATTTTACTTAACGGCAAATTTTATTTACAATTATAAAAGACTGCAAGGGAGACACTGGAAAATTTGACAGAGGTAAGCTTCCCAACAAAATGTCTTTATTGGTCCAGAGGAAGAAAATATTTAGGGGGACCTCCCAGAAGGTAAGAAAAGATAAAAATATTTTAACATTTATATAAAGCATTAACCCGTTGCCGTGGTTCGTCGTGTATGTTTCGTCAGGGATTTAAATCGTCTGGGGGGGTTCG